AACTACTTTTATACTCTTGTTAATTTCTTTTTTCCCAACAGTTTTATTGGCATATAATTCACATGTCATACAATATTTCAATCACATCAAAAAGAATTGTACAATTATTGCCACAGTTTGAGAACATTTTCTCAATCTTGTATTCATTGTTATTAGCTCCCCATTTCCCCTCAACTCCCCTGCCACACACCACACAGTCCAGTTACTGTTTCTATAGATTTACCTAGCCTGGATTTCATTTACAAAACAGCATTAAAAAACAAACAACAATAAAACTAACAAGAATAAAAATATAAAACATAAAAATCTCAATCGAACAGAAAGCAGATAATATTAAAAACTAGAACAAATGTAAATGGATCACAGGGAAGTTCAAATGTCAGTGTGCTAAATCTTAACCTAACTGCATCTGCAACAACCCATCAAGTTAATGTCTTATTAATATTTGCTGTCCAAAATGTATCATGTTCCTTTTATTTTATTTTTTTTTTCATGTTCCTTTTATTATGTTCTCTCAAGTATAAACAATATACTGACTTTTACACTTCCCTCATTTGTAAACCGAGAACAATAGATGTGAAGTATCATACAAAGTAAAATTTTCTGCAAAATCATTACTGCAAAAAGTAAAAGAAAAAAAAACAATACTAAAAACCACCCAGGCTTTTTCACAAATAAAACGTACTTGATAAACTCCACAAGAACACATCTCAATTCAGAAGCTGACAATACCGTTCTCTCATTAAAAAAGAAATCATCACTAATGGATGGTCAACTCCAGACACAGTGTAAACTTAACACCAAATGAACTTCTACACCTCTGCTTTTACAACAAAAACTTCCTGCACAATTTTTCCAGGTATTTAGCGATGAGGATCAAATTCTCATTTTCTCATCATTATGACTTTGTGCTTTTAAAGTGACATACAATCCAGTATGCAAAATATTAAACTATCAGAATACAAGGGAGATTAAGTAGGATATCACTTGGTAAAAAATGTAACCGTCTACTTAGAGCATATCTCTATAATACCTTAGCAATACAATGTGTACTGCTTCCTAAATGTATGGAAATGGCTTTCTCCAGTGCTGGATGTCCCTCTCACTACCATGAAGTCGATTCTGACTCCATGATCTTGGAGGACAGAGTCGAACTGGCCCCGGTGGGTCCCCAAGGCTGGAAATCTGTATGGGAGTAGAAAGCTTCATCTTTCTCTCACAGAATGAGCTGTTTCAAACTACTGGCCTTGCGGTGAGCCACTCAACAGTTAACTACACCACCACCACCAAGCTGAGCGTAAATGAACTAAATCCCCAATATTGAAGAACAGAATAAAAATCAGAATCGAGATAGTTAATAAAAGTTATGTATAGTGTGCTCCCTTTTGTGTTTTAAAAAAGCAGTATTTAAACATAGTTGATTTTCCTTATAAAAAGTTGTTAGGCACCAGCAAGCTGGTTCCAACTCATGATGACCCAGTCCCGCATCATCCTCCCAAGTGCTGGGCTTGAGTCCATTGCTGCAGCCACTGCGTCCTCCATCTCGTCACTGGTCTTCCTCTTTCCCATCCATTTCCACTTTATCAGGTGTGACGCACTATTCCAGGGACGGGTCTCTCTTGATAACATGTCCAAAGCACACAAGATGAGGTCTTGCTATCCTCGCTTCTACACAGTATACTGGCTACACTTTTTCCAATATCTGTTCTTTTCACAGTCCATGATACTTACAATATTCTCTGCTCAGCATAATTCAAATGCACCAATTCTTCTTCAGTTTACCTATTCAATGTCCACCTTTCATATGTAAATAAGGCAACTGAAAATACCATGGTTTGGGTCAAATGCACTCTAGTCCTCAAAGCGACCTTCTTGCTCGTCAACACTGTAAGGAGCTCTTGTGCAGCAGACTTACTCACTGCGGTGTGTTGTTTGATGTGACTGCTGCTCCTGTGAGCATTCACTGTCGAAGCAAGATGAAGGCCTGACAGCTCCATCTTTTCTCCATTTATCACGATGTTACCAGTTGTGGATTTTTGGTTTTCTTTACATTGAGGTATAATCCAAATTGAAAGCTGCAATTAGCAAGTACTTCAAGTTCTCCTCGCGTTCAGCAGGAAAGCTTGTGTCTTCAGCATGTCTCAGGTTGTTAATAAGCCTTCCTCTAATCCGGATGACACGCTCTTCTTCATGTGATCCAGCTTCTCTGACGAATGCTAGACCAAAGCTCAGATCTGAAGTCTTATGTCCATGCGCTGCCCACAGACTGGAGTTTTGGGTGCTTAGCAGAGCCAGTTGCTGTAAAATTGGAGGGTTGGTAAATAAATCTGATTGAATGAAGTGTGTGTAAACTGTGTCATATTTTTTAGAATAACCAGCAACAATACTAAAGAGCGACAACAACAAAAACCTCTGCCTTTTCATTTTATTATGTGTTAGACAGGACCCACTCGATGTCAGTGAGTTTGATTTTTTGGACAGGCCTTTTCATTCTGGAGACTCGTGGCTTTTATGTCTCGGGAAAGTTGATTACCGAGACCTAAGTTTCTTACCTGTGTATTCCCTATTCTCTTACCAGCATTCTGATTTATCAGATATTAGACCTTCTGAATTCTGGGTTTCATTTTATTTCTTATTTTCCATCTCTTTATCTCCCTCTCTTATTACAGTTTTTGATAAACTGTATCAACTTTAGCTCAGAGACATGTCCTCTTCTCCTCTCTTCATGGCTCTCCAGACTTCCGGTTTATATCCCATAAGCCTACCACCACCTAATTCAACAGCCATTTGAGGAAATTCAAAATAATTGGAGCAGAATGAAATGACAGGACCTGTTTTACAGACAGGTACTCTCCATTCCAAGTCAATTGTTTCTTACTGAGTTCTTAGATTCTGTCTGATCTGGGACACTATGATCTTATAGAGTAGTTATTTCTAGTCTAAGGCTTTGTAGCTTTGTCTGAAGCCTCAAAGGAAGAGTGATTCTATTCTGGAAATACTTTGGGACCGGTTAGGAAATCAAATGGCAGCTGAGAACTGGTGGAACATGGACTAATGAAAACAAACACACACACACACACACACACACACACAAACTTCACTGCCATCAAGTCCATACCAACTCATAGTGACCCTTTAGGATGGAGTAGAACTGCCTCTGTGAGTTTCCAAGGCAGCTGCAATTTT